GGTCCGTGGTCGATCGACATAAACAAGGGATTTCAAATAACCCCATAAAAAAAAATCACATGGAGTCAAATCCGGAGAGCGCGCCGGCCATGGGAGATCGCCTCGGAGAGAGATGAGGCGGTCGGGGAAACGTTGTCGCAGCAAATTCATTGAGTCTCGTGCTGTGTGTGCTGTGGCTCCATCTTGCTGAAACCACACGTCCCTAACGTTCATTTCTTCGAGGCTTGGAAGAAAAAATTCCTCGATCATGCTCCTGTAACGAGCTGCATTCACTGTAACTGCGCGTTCGTTTTCTTCAAAAAAATAAGGGCCAATTATTCCCATTACCGATATCGCACACCACACAGTAACTCGTTCACAATGAAGTGGCTTCTGGTGAAGTTCACGCGGATTCTCACCACTCCAATAACGCATGTTTTGCTTGTTGACGGAGCCGGAAATGTGAAAGTGAGCCTCGTCACTGAAAAAAACGACCGTGTCTTGAGGCAGGTTGTCAAGCAGCAATTCGCATGCATTTTGACGGGCAACAAAATCGCGTTCACTTAATTGTTGCACAACAGCCAATTTATAGGGATGAAATTGAAGTTCTTCATGGAGAATTCGTCGAACGGTGGTGTCCGAAATTCCCAGAGCAACTGCATGTTTGCGAGCCGAACGCCGGGGAGAACGCAGAATTGACTGCCTCACTCTTTCGACAGCTTCCGGTATTCTGCTGGTCCGTTGACGTCCATTTCTGGGTTTAGCGACACTTCCACACTCCTGAAATGAGTTGACCCACGACAGAATCGAATTACGGCCAGGAACGAGTCTGTGAGGAGGAATTTCGAAGCGAGCGCGAAAGGCACGTTGCGTAGCAACAACTGAGCGACCGTTGCAAAAGAAGCTCTCGACGGCGAAGGCCAGTTGCTCTCTAGACCACAGCATAATGGCAACTGACGAGAATGGGAAACAAACTTGGGGACGTCCCCCTCCAGATGCGCCCCCTCCCGCCCCTCTACCTGCCCAACTCAACGGTCGGGAATTTTTTCAAATAAGTAAGTTTCTGTGGCGCACCCTGTAAATAATTATAATCGATAAGCCCTTTTTCTACTTTATCGACCTCTAATACTAAAATCTATTTTAGACTTAAAATTTTGTTTCGTTTATGTTATTTATATAGTAAAATAATCGTTTATTATAATAAGGGTTAAAATATGTTTTTATTAAAATAATTAATTTTTATTTTGTTTTGTAATTTTTAGGTGACGTCTTCTTTCTTGTCCTCTTCTATCTGGATTTCCTCCGCTACTTCCTGGGTTTCCAAGGTAAGTATATCCTGTTGTTGAATTAAAATAAATTATAATTGTGCACGAATGTATTCGGTCACAATGTTAGGCGATAATAAAAAAATTTTTTTTATTGAAAATTAATTTGAGGTTAGAATGGTATTCTGTTTTTCCGTAAGTTCGAGGGGAGCCCAGCCATTGAAAAATCGGAAATTGGAAGTACCATACGAAATTTCGTTTTCCGAAATTCCAAAACTGTCACAGGACATTACCTTTACGATTCTTCAGCTCCCTTGGATAACGCTTTACCGTTTTATTCGTAGGCTTACAACTTTGCTTAAGTCTACTTCGACCACGACTTGACGAAGATCGTCTTATTTAACTGTACATACGTCATATAAGATGTCTTATAACGACTATGAATTCATGACTAATAAGATAGTATTAAGTTTGTTCTTATTTCGTACAAGATCTGTTTATGAATCATGTCAAGACCGCTCAAGACGTTTCGAAACAAGATCGTCTTGGACAAGTCTTGTCTTGAGATTTTACTCAAGTATTTACTTGTTTCATGTCTATGAATCTAGAGGGCATCTTAAGATTATGCTTAAGACGATCTTGAAAATAAGCTTTGACTATGAATACGGCCCGTAGAATCCTCCAACGATGGATTTTCCGCGAGAATCTTCCAATAAATACGTCACTGGATTAGTTTGTTGCACTTTGATGATTTTAAAGACCTCCGTAGTCCAATTCCGGTGTGTATCCTTTCTCAAAGATCGTCTTGAATTTGCTCACACGAACCAAGTCACCCACTTTGAATCGTGCGGGTGCGGCAATCTTTACATGATTGTACACCGTGGTTAAGAACCTGTCGGCGATCGCAGGGGTAACATCGACGGGTCGCATACCGATAGCACAGTATATACAGTAGCGCAACTCTCTGTCGGCACCTTTGATATCAGCGTGGATAAAAATGAACTGCACATGCGCAAGCGAGGTATGTAACCAATCAAGGCATTGATATTCCATCTCACCTCTTCTCTCTGTTGTAACCTTTTCTCTTTTTCTACTTTATTGCATAAGGTCTGTTCTTTTTCCACTGTAAGTTCTGAACTGGTGTACACTGATGCAATAAGTTCAGAACCTTCGAAAAATAACAGACCTACACAATATACATTATATTTAAAACAGAAAATAAAATAGAAATGAAACATGATAGATATACATTTATTTCTCAGGAAATATAAGGAGATTCGTACTTATACTTAACCTTTTTTTATTTGCAATGATAGTCAGAGTTACAAAATATAAACGCAATAAGAGAACTAATAATAATATAGCAATCCGTTTTATTTTAACTGATCGATATTACTTAATCTCCAATTTGAAATATTCTTCCTTTACTGTTAAAAAAACGGTGTTAAATTTATTTTTTAAATTTCTTCTTATATTTGTTAGATAAAATCCAGTTATTCGACTAATTCAATTTATTATATCTCAAATCATAACAATATTAAACCTGTTACATGTTATTTTAAAAAACGAATAAAAAATGACTGCGTTCAGCATTTATTTCACAAATGTTGGAAGTTTTCTTTGCGCTGATTGTATTATACTTTTAGGGCGACTGTTACCAACGCCGATTAACTTAATCGACGGTTAACTCAATCAGCAGTGTAACCAACAGCAAGACTGTGACACAGTATACTGTATATCGTTCTTAACCTTATCTCTTCATGATATACTTGTATCTCTGCGTCCTACTTAACTATGATAAAAGTAATAAATATCGTCTGTATATAATAGTAATTCATATCTCAAAAATATGGAATCAAAACGAGCAAAAAATTTTACGGATAGTGAAAAAAATGATTTAATATATAATTGAAAATAAACAAACTGATAATACAACGACCGAGAAAAAAAACGAAGCGTGGATCAACATTGCTAAAGAATACAACGAGAACAGGATAATAATAAGGACAGAAAGAAGCTTACGCAGTTGTTGGGATAACATAAAAAGAGATACAAGAAAATATTGTGCAGCATTTAAACGAGAATGTTATAAAACAGGTATGATTATATCATTAAAGTTATAATTAAGGTAATTTTTTTTATATTTTTTTAATTTGTAGGTGGAGGTAAAATAAATATACCAAAAAATCCTCTATTTGAGCGAGCACAAGAAATCATGGGTGATACAGCAACAAATGGATTAAATAATCCATTTGATTCCGATTCGATTGACAATGAAAAAGAAAATATTGGTTCTGTTATTGAAATAGAAGAAGATGATGATAATAATAATGATTCAGCGGAGGTTTTTACAGTAAGTTATTAAAAAACATAAAAACAGAAAGTCTGTGAAAGTTTATCATTTATTTAAAATTTTTAGTATCTACTGAAAAATAAAGAAATTGTTGATTGGAAATCTTGGGACAGGAATAAATTGAAATTACAAATTAGTCCTCCATTAAAAAGAAATATACAATTGACGACATCTACAAATGTGAAATGTACAAAAAGAAAGTATGAAGATCAAACATTAGATGAAGCGAAAACTGCATTAGCAGATGTCTTGAAAACAAATATCGAAGAAAAACAGAATTATGAAATAGAATTACTGAAAGCCAAATTAGAAAAAGAGAAATTAAAAATTGATTTATTAAAAGTAACAATTGAAAAAGAAAAATTAATAAAAGATAAAATTGAAGAACAAAATAATATGACTTTTACATTATAAGCCAAACGAAGTACAAAAATAAGTTATGTGCAACTTATAAGTATACATAAACAGTATTATTAAATAATTTTAATGTTTAATGTTTTTATTTTACAAGACTGTTATTCATGAGTAATTCCTAAGTTTGTGATTTAAAAATATGATATGTAATATGAAATGTTTTTATGTATTGTTGAATATTATTATTTTATGTATAGTTTTTCATAAAAGAAGAATGGAATATTAAGACAAAAATATATGTTTATTATTTGTTTATTACAAAGTATTACAATACAAAATAATTCGTTTTCTGTGATTTATGTATCTGACGATTATTTTAAATAAAATGAAGGTTAATATTTGTATACTGCTTCCAAATATTTTATGTTTTAAAGTAACCTGTAATTATTGAAATAATAATATATTAATATATATACATAGACATAATGTGAAATATTTAGATTATATATTATAATTGGATTATAATCAACATTACCTATTAAAATATTCCAAAATTGCATCTCTTTTATTATTAATATGTGTATTATCTATATGTTGCATTTGTAGAATGGCATTATTATATATTTGAGGATTAATTGCAGCTGGAATTATTTCCTGTTGAGCAATATTATGTAAAATAGCTGTTGCCACAATAATAGGAAGTGTCTTTTCAATTGTTTGAAACCGTGTTCCAACTGATAAAATTGCAAATCGTCGTTTCCAAATTCCAAAGCATCTTTCAATTTTTGAGCGTGTTCGAATTTGTGCTTCATTATAAAGATGCTCTGCTGGTGTTGTGGGATTTAGTAATGGAGTCATTAGATATGATAAATTTGGATAACCGGAGTCTCCAAGGAGTAAGCCGTCTTCAAATCTATCTGCTTCAAACAATGTTTTAATTCTTGAATTATTGAAAATAGTGGAATCATGTGTAGATCCTAGCCAACGCGCTACTATATCAGTAATTTCCAATCTTGCATTAATAATGACTTGTACATTTATTGAAAAAAAACCTTTTCTGTTACGGTATAACTCACTGTTTTCTCCACCTAGAATATGAAGAAATTTAATAGAAACAAGATAAGTTTATATATGCTACAATTATTCTTACCACATGATTGAACTTTCACATGTGTACAATCAATACAACCAATAACATGTATAAATCCAGTTGTTTGGAAAAATTCTTGCTGATTTCGATAAATTTATTCTGATGAAGTAGGAAAATTTATAAATTCATTTTTTAACGCAGCAATGGCAGGAGATACTCGATGAACAATTTTATGAGCACTCGATTCACTGATGCCACAAAAATCACCAACAGTCATAAAAAACGATCCAGTTGCATAAAATCGTAGAGTAACCATTATTTGGATCATAGATGGAATGGCATTATTTCTATTTTTAATATATATTCATATATAAATATATATACATATATATATAATATCTGTGTGTGTGTGTGTGTGTGTGTGTGTGTTAACAATCTAATAATTTATGTTGACATTTGTATTGTTCATATTAATCACAGAATAGAGAAAATATTGATTAAATTAAGCTAAATACATGCATCATATTTTTAAATTGTTGTATTGACAATATTTATACATACCGATCAGTATTATGTTGTATTTTTATATAAATTTTTTCTAATAGCATATTGAAGCTGTGTTTCGATATTACAAATCTTCTACTAAAATCGGCATCATCAAAAAATTCCAAATAATTCGTACGCGGTCTAAATATGCGTGGTTTTCGTTGTCGATTTCTAACTATAAGATTATAATCTTCATATTCATCAAATAGTAAAAAATTAATAACTTCATCCATGTTAAAACGAAAAAAAATTAGATGCTATGATTAAATTCAATGACTTGTGTCTAATATCACGAAGATGAGATAAGGTTAAGAACGATATACAGTACTGTGTTACAGTCTTGCTGTTGGCTACACTGCTGATTGAGTTAATCATCGATTAAGTTAATCGGCGTTGGTAACAGTCGCCCTTAGATCTAGAGGATTGGTGGATTCTATCTTAGCACACAATCATAAAAATGGTTTCAAAACTGTTGTGTTCCGCTGAAACGTACCTATTACGTTAACTAATTGATAATGGCTGCATTCAACAGAGAAAACTAATCAGTTATAATTAATCAAAACTGTCACTTTCCGTTAAATGGCTATTTAAATCCCTTATATGGATATTTCAATGGTGCAGACAGACAGCGGCAATAAAGAGAAGAAGCGAAATGGAATATAAGTACCCTGATTGGTTACATACCTCGCTCGCGCATGTGCAGTTCATTTTTATCCACGGTGAAATCATGAGATTTGCGCTACTGTATATACTGTGCCGATAGTTCGATGCTTTCGCGCGTTGTAATCTGATACGAGGCGTGGTAGCATGTCGATCCATCTATAGTTTCCATTGTGCGTAAATTGTTTCCACATATCATTCTTCAACGTACGAGTAAACCGCTCAACGACCGATGCCTTCATTACAGAATATGTAGAATAATGATTGATGTTGTATTTCTTCAAGAGTTTCTGCACATTCGAGTTGTAAAATTCCTTTCCTCTGTCGGTCTGCAAATTTTTCGGACATCTTCTATCGTCTCGAATTATCTTTGCAATCGCTTTTGTCACCTCGTTCCCACTTTTGGCTTTGAGTGGTACGGCCCACGCGTGCTTACTCAGCACATCGATAACGGTGAGAATGTAGTGGTAACCTCTGTTGCAGCGTGTATACGGACGCATCTCAA